CCTGGGTCTCATCCTGTCCCTACTGGTCAAAAGGAGAGACTTGTTCCGCCCACAGATTTAGAAGTATAGCTAGGCGGGTGTCTGGGGCTCCTCAGGGACAGAGCCCCCCACTCTGCCGGGTGCTCAGGGAGCTGAGGGGACACTGAGGCTGGGGAACAAGAGTGATGCTCATTCTGAGGAGAGAGGGTCGCCCTATTTGCTTCTAAAAACCACACTGACAGTCAGTAGGTGCTGGGCCTGTGCACTGGAGGTGGGACTCTGGCCCGAACATCCCAGCATTCTCTGACACCCACGGTTCTCTTGGGGGATGTTGCCCCAGGGGACGTTTGGCACTGTTTAGAGAAATTTCGGGGTGTCATAATGGGGGCTACTACTGGCATCTAGTAGTGGCCAGGGATGCCATCCTACAATGTACAGGACAGCTCCCCCCAACAAATGTAATAGTGCCAAGGTGGAGAAAGCCCTGAATTGGACACACAGATGTGCTGCTTTTGAGAGTGAGAGTATTTCAAAGTGCCCCCTGAGACTGGGGGAAATGGGCAGTGGTCCAGAGTTTGTATCAGACTTGCTCTGCATTCCTAGACAAGTAGATAAGTCCTTTCCCCTCTAGGCCTGACCCTTCNGGATGATGGAGATGCCCCTGCTCCAGACCTTAGGGACCTGGCGACAGGGTCAGCCTCCCTCTCCACAGACCCCTCCTGCCAGCCCTGGCCTGAGCCTCCCTCCCCTCCCCAGTGTCACATCCCAGCATGCTGTGTCGAAAGCAGCAGAAACAGCTTTGTTCCAGCGATAAGGTACATGGGGCCCAGAGCTTGTACCAGCTGGTCCCCTGGGGGCCTGAGTCCCCTACTTGGGGAACGGCTCATCCTCACAGACCACCAGCCAGAGGCTCCAACCCCTCCTCTTCCCACCTCTGGGTGGTCCATTGCTTTGACCCCCGGACGATGAGGCCTTCTCCAGCCCCACACGGCCCACAGCGTATCTCAGCAGCGTCCTTGCTGCTCTCCTACCAGGGCATCTGGTCCCTCTGTCATACTGCCCCTGAGAGCCCTTTTCCACCTGCAGACCCCACCGGGTCCTCTTCCAGGACGGAGCCTGGGCTTCAGAGCCTGTGGCTGGTCCTGGGCCTCCGAGCACCTGTGGCCTTGTCTCCCCTATCCCCCACCTACAGCCAGGGAGCCCCACGGTGGGTTTCCAGAAAGATGCCGCATTGCCTCACCTTTGGGCCTTCTGCGCGGACTCCCCAAGTCCAGGCCCAGCCTCCCACCTTTGACACCAAAGACTGAGCTAATGCTTGCCGCCTCCCACACATGCTGTCCTCGGCAGAGCTCTGCCAGCCTCGCTGCCTGGCACCCCTGGGGGTGGCAGTTCCCCCCCGCAGGGACTGGGGCTTCTTCCTGGACGTCTCCTCCTTCGAGCCTTTACTACTTCCTTTCTCAAGCCTCCCTTCTCCAGGGCCCTCTTCAGCTCGGGCTCTGACTCCGGCTCTGCCAGCAGGCCCCAGGGCTCCTTCCTGCTCTTGGCAGGAGCTCCAGGTGCAGACCCTGTGCCCAGGCCGAACTGGTCATCCCTCACCCTCCTACCCAGATGCCTGAGCTCGTTTTGGTTGCTGTGGGTGAGAGCCCAGAGCCGTCTGGCCCCTTCTGGAAAAGACAGGCCTATACACCGGCTTCCAGTAACCACCACTCTCCTCTGGGGTCCCTGAACAAGGCCCCTTCACACCCGGCATTTATGTTTTTGACAGTTAGCATTCAACTCGATCCACTGAGGATCTCACACTTTCATATATATCTTGATAGATTACAAGTCTGTTTTCTCATTGTTAAAACTTACATTTTGAAATTAAGCTTCATACACATATTTAGCAACTTTTTCAATTATAAAATGAACCTCAATTTTAAAAATGATTTCATACCTTAGTAGCTGTATAACATTAAAATGATAAATCATGCTTTAATGAAGTTACTCAATAACACTTCATATGATTTAAATATTTTCCATTTGAAAATAATGTCTTATTTTACAAGACTCTGGCAAACATTGACAACTACAACTTAATTTGCTACTTAAGCAAAGAAGTTGTCGTGCTCTTTATTACACAGGAATCAAAGACATGCGAGCTGAGCTCCTCAGCCCTGACGCCTGGCCCCTTCTCTCTGTTGACCGCCTCAGGGGAAGCCCAAAGACCGGATGGACCACGACTGTGAGATGCAGCCACCTGGAGCCCCCAGGCCCGGAGGCTCCTCCCGCAGCCACTTGCTGGGGCGCCCTGCCCACCCTTCAAAGCTCCCTGGAGGTGTGTCTCCCCTCATTCCGGTCCTGAGGAAGACCGTCCATTTGGATGCCTTCCCCCAAAGCCACAGCCCACAGGCTTCCGGCCGACCTGGGCTTGGGGCAAGGGCGCAGAGTGCGGGTCCACAGGAGACCAACAACAGCCTTGTGTCCAGGAAGCTCAGCTCCATCTCCTTAACACTCCGTCAGAACAGCCAGGCATGGCCTTTGGGTCCCCCATCTTCTCCCTGGAAAGAGCTGTCCACCCTGGGCAGGGAGGCTTCCACCCATGGAGGTGGGAGGCTGCCCGCACCAGGCTCACCATCTGTGACGCCGATGCCAGCAGGCAGGGTCCACTGCAAGGGCCCAGGGAGCCCAGGCCTGGCCAAAGCCAGTAGGATGCCCATAGTAGAGAAGCCCCTGGTGAGTTCCTACCTGGCCCTACCTTTTCAATCCCGGTTAGCCCAGAATCCACCAGGCTCTGCAGGGCCAGGCCTGCTGGCTCAGAGGCATCCTGTCCCAGTGACTGCCCATGTGTCTACCAGAGCTTCTCCAGGAAGAGGTAAGCCCCGGTTCAGGGGTATCCCAAGACCCCGGCTGCATCTTCAAAGGGCCACCCCTACCAGGGGTCCTACAATGGCCCTAGATTTGGTTACTCTGAACACGAGGCCAGGCACAGCCAGACGTTTAGCTACAATGGCCACCAGCAGACATAGCTTGGCTATCAATGTCACAACAGTCACATCCAGACTGGATACAGGCACAGAATTCTCTGCTCTGGGTACCAAGCTGGGCACAGCCATGGACTTGGCTACAGCAGGCATAATCAAGCCAGACACAAGCACAGGGGGCACAGCCACGGACTGGGCGGTACCAGACTCAGACCCAGACAGGCTGGGCACAGCCACGGGTTTGGTTGTACCGGTCACCTCAGCTCCAGTCACTGGTGAGACTGCACTGGACAATGTCATTAGCATGACTGCAGCAGCCACCTGCCCACTGATGCCAAGCAGAAGCACAGACCCAGCCCTGGACCGTGCTACAGCAGAGGCTGCCACAGACAGGGCCACAGAGCCCGCCACGCTGGAGATCGCCAGAGAAACCCAAGGTAGATGTTGAGAGTGCAGCTGGTGTGCACTGGGCTCTGCAGGGGCGGCACAGATGCGTCTGGGTAGGTCGGGATGGGGAGGCAGGACTCTAAGGACGGAGTTGAACACACTGGGGGAAAAGGGAACAGGGTTGAGAGGCAGAACACTGGGACTCTCCCTGAGATGGGTCCCAACCTGCCAGTCAGAGGTCAGGCCGAGGGAAGTCACCAGAAGGATGGTTTCTGGGGTAACCTGAAAACAGGTAGTGATGCCAAGTCCATCCTTTGGCATCTTGCACGGTTCTTTGTTCCCTGAAGAGCTAGAATTGCCAGGCCATCTGTAAAAGTCCAGCTTAAAGAGCAAACCACCTACAGGATAGGACAGACCAGCATGTTGGTAGTGGCGATCTGTCTGGCTGCCATGGCTGCAGAGCTCCCGGGATGTGGACAGTGACCTCACCTGACCCCTTCCAAATCATTCACATTCTGCCCTCCAGGAAGATTCTGTTGCTTAAAAGGTATCTCACCTGGAGTTCTCTTTCTTGGTTCCCTACCCCCAGTCCTCTAGTCCTGAAAGGTGAGTTGGAGATTTGTATATATGGAAGTCCTACCTAGAACTATAGAGAACTATAGATAGGTCACAAAGGGCTAGAAGGTCTTCGGGTCTCAGAGAGGCTGTGACATGCCTAAAGTCATGCAGCTGGCTGGTGGCAGTGAGCTCATGGGGGCCCAGATCTCCTTTGGGCACTCATTCCTCACGTGTCAAAGGCGCAGATACTCTGGGTCTGGGAGACACTTGGAGAGCACCCAGGCTAGTGCCTCTGTGGGGTCCCTGGGTCTGGGGAGCTCACCCAGGCTCGCTCCCTCCTCCCTCCTCAATATCACCTCCACCTTCATCCCTGCCCTCCCTCTGAAGTGGATGTGCCCAGCTAGCGCTTGCTGGATGACGCCACCCTCAGTGTCTCAGGCATGTCCAGAGCAGCCCTTTCCCTCCGGCTCTGAGTCCAGCCCTCCCGACCTTGCTCTCTGCTGTTGGCACACTAGAAACCTGGGTACCCTCCTTTCCCTCGTCTCTCTCTCCTTCATCCTTCTGGTCTATTGCCAGCTCTGTTGCTACTCAGCACTGGTTGGCAGCCCCCTCCTCTCCAGCCCTCTGCCCTGTGATGCTAAGGTCCCCACCCCCACCCCCCAGGGCTTTCCCTCCTCCACACAGCAGCCACTGGCACTCACATGTCTGACGGCAGCACTTCTGACAAACAGCCGTTGGTCACTCACCATTACCTTCCCTTAAAGGCCAGCCCCTTAGTCTGGCTTCCAAGGCTACGGACCTCTCCAGTCTCGGAGCTGCACGTCCCTGTCTGGAATTGTCTCCGCTTCAGCTGCAGCAGGAGCTCTGAGCTGTCCACCGACACCGCGCAGCTCTCAGCTCCGGGTCTCCTCACCTCTGCTGCCCCCTCTCCTGGCCTCCCCCCCATCTCCATTTGCCTTTCTATCTTGGTCCTTCCCTCTCCCCGGTATTCTTCTAAAAGCCCTCTGTCCCCAGCACGTGCCGCGGGTGCACTCTCAGCACCCTGTCATACCCCACACTCCCGCATTCGGACAGCCCAGCTTTCTGTACTCTCCGCTAGACCTACAGCGCTTTCAGGACAGGGAGGGCCGTCCTTATCCCTGTCCCCCAGGGCCTGACAGTGTGCTGTCCGTTAATGTTGACTTAATGTTGGAAGATTTTTCTGTTGGGTAAATGCAGACTCAGGGAAGTTCTGACCAGCTCAAGGTCACGGGGCTCGTCACTCCGGAGTCGGGCCTGGAACCTCGGAGACTCGGGGCCCTAGGGGCGCCCGCTCCGGGGCAGAACCGCGCTGAGACGGCGCAACATCCCAACCACCGCGTGACTCAGGCACGCGCACCGCCGCCCGCCGCTGCCACCGGCGCCCCCGCCCCACCTCGCCCTGGTCTGGAGGGTAAGGGCCGGGAGAGGGAGCAGGAGGAACCCCGGGCCTGGATGCGGGCACCTTCCCCGGCCTGGCATCCCGAGCCTGCAGGCACAGCGCGCCCGCGCGCCTCCTGGGCCGCCCGCAGCCTGGCCCTGGTGCCCGTCCCGCGTGCGGCCCAGCGGGGAGCGGGTGCGGCGCGGGCGCCGCGGGAGGGGGAGGGGCCCTCGGCGGGGCAGCGGGCGCGCGGGTCACGTGGTGCGGTGGCAGCGGCGGCGGCGGCGGCGGCGGCGGCGGCGGCGGCGGCGGCGGCATCGGTTGCGCGGGCAGGGGCGGCGCGGTGCCGAGCGAGCAGAGGCGACGTCTCGAGCGGGCGCGGCAGCGCGGGGCGCAGGGGCGGCGCGGCCGGGCCCCGGGCGGGGCGGGTGGGCGGAGAGCGCCGAGGGGCGAGGCCCGGCTGCAGGGCCGGTCGGCCCGGGAGGAGCCCGCGCCCCGCTCAGCCTTGCAGCCCCGCGCCCTGAGCATCCCCCCGGAGGAACGGAAACAAAGGAGGATTCATGTCCAAAGGTAGGGCGGCCGGCCGGGCCACCGGCGTCCACTGAGAGGAGAATGCGGCCCCGAAAGGGCTGGAGGTGCTACCAAGGGGGAGGGTTGCTGCGCCGAGGAGCCCACGCGCGGTAACACGCACACACGGTGGCACACACCCCAAGACATGCATGCCTGGAGAACGTATGCAGGATAGAGGGGAGATACAGGAACCCACGGACACGCCAAGCAGGGACCCAGATGCGCACAGAAAGCCCCACGCTCGTGCAAACACACGCACACACGCAGAGGAATCAGGGCCACCTACCGCGGGGTAAGAGACCTGTGCGCTGACACATGGACCCCTTCCCCCACACTCAGGCACACACGGAGATGGGTACCGGCTGGTGGTCTCCAAGGGAACTCGGCCTCCAGAGGACTGGAATGGGGGCAGGGGGTGTCCCAGGGCCCTTAGCTCCTGCAGATGGGAATGGACCAAGATATTTTGTGTGGTCTTTTTCTGAGTGCCAGGGCGGGAGCTGGAGTGGACTGGAATTGCCTTGAGGGTGGGGGTGGGGTCCTGAAGGCTGCTAGGTGCTGGGGAAGATCTCCCCTCAGGAAGGAAGGAAGAGCTGCCCTCCCAGCCCTGTACCCCCACCACTGAGCCAAGGAGGCAGGTGCTATTCAGGAAAGGTCCCCTCCCCCTGCTGCCACCTTCCCAACAGAGGGGTGGGGTCCCCCAGCCAGACAAAGACGAAGCTATTTATTTGCCTGTAAAAGAAAGCACCAGGGTCCTTGCTTGGCATGGGAATGGGGGGTGCGGTTTCTGTGCAGGACTCAGCCAGAGCGGAGCCAGGTGGACGAGATGCCTCTCCCTGAAGCACGGATGGAGCAGGTGGCTCTTGGCAGGGGTGTTGCAGACAGATCCTGTCTCCTCGAGAGGCCCTTGGAGAGATGGGAGCTTAGGAGGGGCCCCAAGAACCATCTAGGCAGGATGCCATGCTGGGGCTACATCCTGCTGCGACCCCATACTGAGCTCTTCCTCACCTTTGGGAAGCGCTCCTCCAGTTCCTGTTGCAGGGGAGGGAAAGGTCTGTCCCCTTGACTGTGGCCTACAGAAGAGCCGTTTGCAAGCTGGGGGTCAGCTGCTCTGCAAATGGAGCAGCATCTGAGGAAGGAGAAAGGCGAAGGTTCTGAAGTGATAACTCCGTCTCAGGCAGACATCATTCATTCGTCGCTGAGTGCCTGTGTTATGCTGGGCACATTGAAGCACATAGATGCATAGGACATGGTCCCTGCTGAAGGAAGGGTGGGAGCCAGCATATGTTCAGTAATTTATGCCCATGCTTTTGCATAACCTTCACAGCAACTCAGCAAGGTATGTTTTCTGAGGAGAAAATTTTCCTGAGGGGAAAATTGAGGCTATAGGGGTCACCCAGCTGGGAGTCAAGTCTGGGCCAGCTGCCCATCTGGGTTGGCATGGCGGGACCAGGGGAGCTGTGGGGCAGAGGATGGAGCTACAGAATTCGACTCAAGAACAGCATTTGTCCTGCGCCCTGGAGGTCTTTGTGTATTTGTCAGCCACCCTCACCAGGCAGTGGGCCCTCAGGGGCAAGGAACTTGTGTAGGATCCCAAAATGCCTTTGGTATTCACTCTAAGGTTTAGCTGGAGTAGGTTTGCACTTGACAGAATATGGAATTGCCTGGATGGATAAATGGAACAGATGAATGGATGAATGTGATGAGTACCAAGGCAGTCAGTGGGCAAAGCAGCACGAAGGAGGCATCCCCATTGGAGGGAAAGCAGAGGCTTTCCTGAGAGGTAGCTCTTGAGCTGAGTGGTGAAAACGGAGTAGGGGTTAGCAAGGAGCTGGATGGGCAAGGGGTCTTCCAGCAAAGTCTGTGATGGGGTGAGCTGCTGCACACTTAGAGCACTTGCGGCTGATGGGTGGCTGTTAGCATGTGCTTGGCATGTAATTGGCATGTAGTTGGGAAGGGTGGCTTGCCAGCAGGTGCTCTAGGCAGTATGCACATAGGTGCTAGTAGGTGCCTACTGGAAGGATGAGGGTGAGAGATCTGCTCATGTGCGGGCCCTGCAGCAAGCCTGCCGTGGTGCCTCAAAGTTGCCTGGGAATCTGGTAGGCAGACCCCTTCTCAAAACCAGGGTGTGAATTTGGGGAGTGTGCTTTTTGGGTGCTGCATTTGATGGGCCAGGGCTGAGCAGTCCATGATGGGGACACCCACGTTAGAAGAACATTAAAAAAATATACATAAAAAATACAAGACTCACTGTCCACGTCTGTAAAATAGACATTCCCCCCACTCCCCACAGATGGATCTATCTCACAACATAGGTTGTGGAGACCAGAAGGGCTCAGCTGAAGAGGCATGAGGGAAATGGAAAGGGCCAGCCACGTGAGCGGCTGCACAGGGGAAATGCGCACCGACCCCAGTGCAGGTATGCTGAACGGGGCTCCAGAGCCACGTGTGAGAGCGGAGGAGCAGCCGGGCTGTGAGAGTCAGCTGCTGTGGCTGAGCCAACCTTGCTGCCGTCTGGAGCTGCCTGCCTGGCAACAGCTTCCTGGGAGCAGGAAGGAGACCGGCCAGGCCCCAGGGAAGTTCCGAGGCTTCGTCAGATTGCCTGTGCCTGGGAGTGACAGGGAAAGAACAGCTGCCCATTGGCGGGGAGTCTTGCCAGCACCAGGGGAAGGCCTAGGTGGTGGTGGTACAAGAACAGACTCCTGGCTGGGTTTGGGGGTGGGAGAGGGAGGCACTCCTGTCCCCTCTCCCTCTGGCCCATCTGCTGCTCCATCAGTCTGCCTGTAAGTCTGAGACTGCAGGGCAGTAACCATGAACCATAGGATCTAGAACGACAAAACCGGAAGGGGTCCTCAGGAGAACTGGAATCCAATTACTCTGCTGTGTAATCAGCATCCAGGCCACCTCCCTTTAAGGAGTGATTTCCCCTACCCCGCGATGTCTCGCCTCCTGACAGCCTGGTGAACTCGAAAGGGGTGGGGGCAGGGGTGCTTCTAGGCATCACATCTCAGTGCTCTCCACAGCCTGGATCACGATCCTAACCAGTTTGCACTTGAGGAAGCAGGCTACAGGGGGAGGGAGTTCGCCCAAATCCACAGAGCGGGCAAGTGTAGCAGAACCAGGCTCATCCCACTTCTCACACACCCCTTTTATGGATGGGGAGATGAACTTGCTCCATTCTGAGACCTACCCTGGTGGACAGAGGCGTGATGAGGAAACACACAGATTCCTCCTGTATGTGTGAACATAGCCATGATTAGCCAGACCCAGAGGGATGTTTGCCTTTCCCCACTGGAGAAGGGCTGTTTCCTCAGTCACCCTTTCTTCTACCACCCACCATCCTAAGAACAACACACTGATCATCTCCGGCAAGTTACCGCCCGCACCTGGGTCTCATCCTGTCCCTACTGGTCAAAAGGAGAGACTTGTTCCGCCCACAGATTTAGAAGTATAGCTAGGCGGGTGTCTGGGGCTCCTCAGGGACAGAGCCCCCCACTCTGCCGGGTGCTCAGGGAGCTGAGGGGACACTGAGGCTGGGGAACAAGAGTGATGCTCATTCTGAGGAGAGAGGGTCGCCCTATTTGCTTCTAAAAACCACACTGACAGTCAGTAGGTGCTGGGCCTGTGCACTGGAGGTGGGACTCTGGCCCGAACATCCCAGCATTCTCTGACACCCACGGTTCTCTTGGGGGATGTTGCCCCAGGGGACGTTTGGCACTGTTTAGAGAAATTTCGGGGTGTCATAATGGGGGCTACTACTGGCATCTAGTAGTGGCCAGGGATGCCATCCTACAATGTACAGGACAGCTCCCCCCAACAAATGTAATAGTGCCAAGGTGGAGAAAGCCCTGAATTGGACACACAGATGTGCTGCTTTTGAGAGTGAGAGTATTTCAAAGTGCCCCCTGAGACTGGGGGAAATGGGCAGTGGTCCAGAGTTTGTATCAGACTTGCTCTGCATTCCTAGACAAGTAGATAAGTCCTTTCCCCTCTAGGCCTGACCCTTCACCTATGAAACGGGGGACCCATCTGACATCTCAAGTCCCATCCAGTCCCAACTCTACACAATTCCACATCACGAGACTGGCACTGTGGCTTCCACGTGACCTCTGCTTTCCTCCAGCTCACTCGTCTCATCTCGGCTTTGCAGGGCTCCCCGAGACCAGGACGGACGCAGCCATGTCAGAGCTGGTGCCTGAGCCCAGGCCTAAGCCAGCTGTGCCCATGAAGCCCGTCAGCATCAACTCCAGCCTTCTGGGCTACATTGGCATTGACACCATCATCGAGCAGATGCGCAAGAAGACCATGAAGACCGGGTTCGACTTTAACGTCATGGTCGTCGGTACGGAAGGTCCTGATGGCAGCAGTACCGAGGACCCCACTTCTTCCCCTTAGGGTGGCCTCAGCCCTTGCTTCTCTAGGAGGAGCTCTTTCTGGGAGGGCAGACTTCACGGTGCTGATCACGAAGGCCTAGCCTTCTTCTCCCCTCAGGCTGGCTGGCCCAGGGGAGGGAACTTTGGGGGGTGGACAGCCGGGCCCCGTCACAGCTGGGTGGACGTAGGCAGCCTCTGAGCCGTGCTCAGCCTGCTTTCCGACTGGGGCCTGGGGGGCTCATCAGTGTCATTCCCACCTTCAGGACGGGTGGAGGGTGGTCTTATTTCTGATCCTTTGTAGTGCTTTCAAGCTTAGAGTTCCCAGGACATTGATTGGTCGCTAAGCAGTGTCACGTGGTCACGGGGTGTGCGAGCAGGAAGGGGCCTTTGCCCGGCCTCAGCGATCCGGGCCCCATCCTTCCTTCTCCCTTCTCCCCCAGTTCCATCAGTCATCAAGTCCTGTCAGTTTTACCTCGTAAATATCTGTCGCGGCTGTCCCTGTCTCTCCCTCGCCGCCGCCACCCCGCGCCGAGCTGGGACTCTCACCTGACTCGGTGCTGCTCGGGGAAGAGCCGCTGGGCCAGAGCGCACGCCGGATGGAAGTCTCGCTATAGAAACCTCAGTTGGACTAAACAGTGTGCTGAGCGGCACAGATGATTTACTTTCTGGTGCAGACTTCTTATCTCAAGAACCAGTAGTATATGGTTCACGGACCCTGGCTGCAGGTCCCACTTTGGGTGGCACCGACCCTCCTGGTTCTGTCACCTTCCCCCTTCAACCCCTTGTCCACCGGTGACCAAACACTTCTTTTCTGCAAAGCTTCTCAAGTCACCCTCCTACTTAAACCCCTTCAGTGAGCCTCAGGGTTTACGCTCCTAGTCGGCCTGGTACTGCCTGCCTGCCCCTCGCCTCCTACCACTGCCCACGTAGCACCGTGCTCCTCACAAGGAGCAGTCCTCCTGCACTTGCCATGCTCTTTCCTACTCTGAGCCTTTGCGTGGGCGGTTTCCTGTGTCTAGAACCCCCTTCCAGCTTCTCATGGGCCATTCGAAGTCACTCTTCGGGTTTCAGCTTAGCTGTTGCTTCTTCCTAGAAGGCCTCCTTGGTTTCAGAGCATGGATTAGAATCCCCTCAGTAGGCTGTTATAATATCCTAAGCTCTCTTCACAGCGATCTCTTCCGTGCAGCACACTGTCTGTATTTGCTTCTGTTTTGGTCTCCTCACACTAAACAGCTCCTGAGGGTAAGGATGACATCTATCACCACTCTGCCTCCAATTTTAGCACAGCACCTGGCACGCAAGGATATTTAATGAATAGATGACCTTAGACAATATCTGGATGGAGAATGGCAAGTACAAGACGCATGGGCTACTTCTCTCCCCAGCACCGCCATGGCGGGCAGTCGTTGGTCAGTCACAGCCCACGTTCTGCCCTGAGCCAGGGCATAGCCTTCTTAACATTTTGGTTTTGGTGGCTACCACCAGTTGATCAGTTCGCATGAGAAATGTACCTTATTTGCCATCCCTTGTCTTAGCCAGCTCCCTCCCTACCATGTAATCAGTGAAGACACTGGGCGGGCAGTCGTGGCTGGTCCAAGGCCTCCAGGAGACACCACAGTCGGGTCTGGAGCCGTAGGCTGTTACCTCCTGCCTGGTCCTTCTCAGATATCCCACAGGGACGCTCTAGACCAGCACTTCTGTCTTTACCGTGCAGAGGATCACCTGGAGGGCCTGTTCAGATGCAGATTCTGAATCACCGGGCTGAGGTGGGGCCTGGGATCCTGCGTTTCCTATGAGCTCCCAGATGGTGCATCAGTTGCAAGATTTGCTGCGCGACTCATGCACATTTGAGGAGCACTGCCCAGACCAGTGGTTCTCAATTGCCTCTGGTTGTGGAGCTCCACCTTGGAATGAAGTCTCCTGTAGAACTGTGTCTGAAAAACAGGTCTGAGGGAGCTGCGGCGAATGAGGTAGCCTCCTCCACCTCACAGGCCCTCCAGGCATTCATCTCGAGATCTAACCGCTACTCTCGAGTAAAGAGTGGCTGTGGAGCCAAGGGGCTCCTTGGGCTCAAGTTCAGGTCTTGGATTTATTAGTTATGTTACCTTGCACACATTTCATGTTAGGTGGAGATTAATCTCTCTGGACCACTTCTCTGGGGATAAAGGTGGCTCTGCATTGGGAGGGGGGGCTCACAGTGCTGATGTAAAGGCCCATTTTACTAAGGGGACGTGAACATGCATCTGCCCTGAGGCAGTATCAGAATGCAAAGTCATTCTGTTACTCCTCTGAGTATTAAAGACTAGAAACTTCAGTCAAGCAAAATCAAAACAAAAAGCCACCATGCTAGACAAATGCGGAGGTTATCCCTTGTCCCAGTGGTCCTGTGACTCCAGGAAGGAGACTGTGGAACCCAGCTGACGTTCCCCAAGCCCTTTGCATCTGAGCTCCCCTCCCTGCTCAGCCCGGCCCACCCCAGTGAGCACCCAAACCGGGGCGTGGCCTGGCTCGAGGCTCCGGAATCCTGTGAGCCCCCGGGGGAGTTATTAGGCTCCGGAGGGGGACAGGGGCTCTCCCTGCCTCCTCATCCCCCTCTTGTCTTGCTGCAGGTCAGAGTGGGCTGGGCAAGTCAACGCTAGTCAACACACTCTTCAAATCCCAGGTGAGCCGCAAGGCCTCCAGCTGGAACCGGGAGGAGAAGATTCCCAAGACAGTAGAGATCAAAGCCATTGGACATGGTGAGGACCAGGCAGGGACCTGTGGGCATTGCTCAGAGGGGCCTCTGCCAGGAAGGGGAGAGAGGGGGCTTACTGGGGAGTGAGACAAATGAAAGGCTGCGGCCTCAAGGCAGAGTAGACAGAAGTCCTGAACTCTATGGAGCAACTCCTCAGATGCAAGTCCAGAAAAGGGAGGGAGGGGATTAGAAAGGAGAGCAGTGAGGTTTGAGCTGGACAATAAAGTGTGGATGGGGTTTAGACAGGCAGAAGGGTGTCAGGAGGCCATCCCAGGTGCAGGGAACAGCATGAACAAAGTTAGGAGAGTTAGGAGAGACCCTGAACTTGACTTTCCCAGTAATTGGTTCTGAAGAAGGAAGGAGCCTGGGTCTCCCTGGCTGGTAGGCAGCAGGGCACCTGGCATCAGCTGGGAGAGTGACCTCACTGTGTCCTTTCTGTTCACCGCAGTGATAGAGGAAGGTGGTGTCAAGATGAAGCTGACCGTCATCGACACCCCAGGCTTTGGAGATCAGATCAACAATGAAAACTGGTATATGTCTGCCCGTGAGATTTCCACCCTAAAGACTCTGCAAGGGAGATACTGAACACAAGGAGATCCATTCATGCTGAGCCCTATGCTGAGGGGTCAAGCAGGAAGACTTGCTTTAGGAGAGAGGGGGTCTATGCGGGGGCAAGGGGAGAGGCCCAGGTGGGGGCCAGTCATGGGGTGGAGCGGGATGGTACAGAGGGAGTTTGGGCCGTGGGATTTCATGGAGCAGCAGCAGATCTGTCACAGGTAAGGCAGACAGAATGGGGAACCGGGGTGCAAATCCAGGCTGACCTGGAGGCGGAGGCAGAGGGCTTGCCCTGTGGGCCAGAGGTCATAACCCGGATGGAGATAGAAGGAGTGAAAATCAGGAGGGAGGGGAGTTCCCACGAGGAGAGAGGCCCTGGGGATCTGCAGTCAGTGTCCAGTCAAGGAGAGTGAAATACGCTGCCCAAAATGTGGCTGGAAGGTTCCTGGCAGAGGCTTGCTCCCAGGCAGGGGTGGAGACCACTGTGCCTCTGTGGGGAAGCTGGGGTCTGCCACAGACAGGCAGGCCACCGAACAACACAACTTAGAACAGTCTTAGAAAAGCAGTTGCCCTTGTCTCTGGTTATGTGCATGCTCACTGATGCATCATGGTGACAGCGAACTCCTACGTGATTGATACGTTCTATGTGCCGTTGCTGTGTTCTTTCTAATCCTCACATGAATACCTCCAGGCCCCTATTGTTACTGCCACTTTCCTTATGAGGAACAGTCTCAGAGGGGCAGAGCTCCAGCTCAGGAGTAGAGGAGGGGGAAGTGTGTATTGCTTTCTGGAGTGGGACGGGGTCTGCAGGTTCCTGTAGCCCAGTCAGGATGCTGGGTCCCCAGGGGAGCACTAGCCTGGCTAACAAGGAAAGCTGTCCATGGGGGGCTGAGGGAGAATGGTCAACATGTACCCTAGACCCTCCAGGGGAGGCAGGAAAGGAGATGGCTGTGTGGGGACAGCTACCTGGCCCTGCCCGGGATGAGTTCCCAGGTCCTGTGCCTCTGAACTCCCATCTGCTTTCTTCCCCCTGCAGCTGGGAACCCATTGAGAAGTACATCAACGAACAGTATGAGAAGTTCCTGAAGGAGGAGGTGAACATTGCCAGGAAGAAACGCATCCCTGACACTCGAGTCCACTGCTGCCTCTATTTCATCTCCCCCACGGGACACTCGTAAGTACTGGTCCTGTCTCAGGGCTGGGCTGTCTCTAGTTTGCATCACCTGTGCCCATTTTGCAGAGGGTAACCCATACATGGACTGGCTGGGGAGGGCCAGGGGGGCCCCAGTATAGGCATGGCCTTGTGAGTCCCCAGACTTTCTCCAAGAAAGTCTGGCTTTCTCACCAGGAGAGTAAAGCTGACCAGCGTCAGCCCCTTGCTGCTCTTTGGTGTTCCGGCACCACGACCCTGCACCCGCAGAGAAGCCAGTGTATGTGAGCAGAGGGCTCCTCACCTTTTCTGTAGATACTGCTTTGCACAGGCTGGGGTGGGGGCAGCAAGGAGGGTGAAATGGGAGGGGCAGGGCTACTGGATTGGGGCTGGTGCTTGGGGCAGGGTGTGGGGCCCAGCTGTAGGCATTGGAGGGTGGCCAGCCCAGCACGAGGGGCCGAGTGTCTCGAGATGAAAGCAGGCAACAAGCAGGGGGTGCTGGGGCCTCTGTCTGTGGGACACAGGTGGGGCTCCATGATAGGGGGTGCTGGCAGAGGATGGAGAGATCCAAGCAGCCCCCCATTGGCAGAGGTCTCATAACTTACTTCTAAGTCCAGCTGCAGGGCTAAGAGTTCAGTTTTTGAGAGGATGGATGAGGAGGGCGGGCCCCAGACTTCGGAGGAGCCAGGCACCCAGCAGGTGTTTGACGGTGGGGCCCAGGCCCTCAGTGGAAAGGTTCTTTATTCTGCCCCAGACCCTGGACCAAGGTCAGAGCAAGCCAGCACACAGCCTGCCTCATGAGTCCCTGGACTTCAGACTCAGGGCTGATTGGGCCCCAGAGCCTCGGGGAAGTGCGGCCCTCGGACAGTGGAGGGCAGGCCCCCAGCTGGGGCCCTGCAGGACCGAGTGGGGGCTGGGAGGAGGCCCAACAAGAAGTGCTGGCCCACGGGCAGAACGAGATGTACACAAGTAACCATGACACAAGGACATGCGGGAGGGGACGGCAGCTGCTCCCGGGAGAAGCCCCAGGAGGAGAGAAAGCCGTCCTGAGGAACAGGGGGAGCAGGGCTTATGGAGGGGCAGGATTTGAAGAGAAATGGAGGTGGTGGGCACGTGCGGGCCGAGCGGGGGCTGTGCTGCAGAAGGTGAGTGCGTGTCAGAGAGGAGCAGCCCCGCAGCCTCAGCCAGGCTCCCAGCCCTGTCCCCCTGTCCCAAGGGCGGCCCTGGAGTGGTGGTGGTGGCAGAGTGGGGAGGGCAAGGTGGCTCTGACACACCCCTTCTCTGGGCCCCAGCCTGCGGCCTCTCGATCTGGAGTTTATGAAACACCTCAGCAAAGTTGTCAACATCATCCCTGTCATTGCTAAGGCCGACACCATGACCCTGGAGGAGAAGTCTGAATTCAAGCAAAGGGTGAGAAGCCCCCGCCCCCTTTCCTGTTCCCAGCCCTTCCTTCCCCTCCTCTGGCCAGCTGCCTCCCCTCCGTTATTACAGCCCCAAGCCCCCTGGCCTCTCAGCTCCCCCTTACCCCTTAAAGAGGCTGGGCTGGCGGTGGTGTCTGGGGACCATTGGGGAAGAGAGGTCAGTGCGGCCTCGGGCTGCCTTCTTCCCACCTCCAGACTTACCCACCAAGACCACTGAGTACAAAACTCACCAAGAACGTGAGAAACCATGCCTCAATGTTAGGGAGCTTGCAGGACTAGAGAAATTAGCGAACTGCCTGCCAGCCCTTCCCAGATCTTCTCTGAGTTCCCTACGCTTGTTGTTTTGAGGTGGGGGAGAGAAGTACACAGACAGTTGTTGCCTTCAAGAAGCTTACGATCAAGTAGACTACTGCAGAGGTCCTGGAGAGCTTAAGGCAAACTTTGAAAGAGGGCAGACAGAGAAGCTCTGGGTGTGGGGGCAGTGGGGGTCACCTCTCTTCTTTGCAAACAGATCTAGGACCTGCAGCAGCGTGAGCACTGCCCATGTGGAACCTACTCAGAGGCGCTGCTTGTCTAAATCCTGGCCTTATGGACCCTGAGATGAGCAAGCCGCACGCCCAGACCACTCATCTCAGGCTGCGCTGTGGCAATTGTATGGCTGGGGCTTGCATTTATTCAGGGCTTTCCTGCTGCTTCAGGGCCTCAGAGTTCAGAGATGACTCGGTTATCAAAGGCTGCCTTCAGCCGTCTGACTTTAGCACACACACTCACACACACACGATTGTATGTGTGTGCACATGCGCACCCCACCAGTCTCCCTTTATCCTGACACTTGGCTACCTTGCTTCTCTTCCTTGCCTCTAGGTTCGCAAGGAGCTTGAAGTAAATGGCATTGAATTCTACCCCCAGAAGGAGTTTGATGAGGATTTGGAGGACAAGACGGAGAATGACAAAATCCGGGTGGGTGCCTGGGGCTCTGTTCATCAAACAGATGTCCCCCTTGGGACCCTTGGGGTGCATATTGTGTACTGCTTCTGTCTTCCCACCTGCTTTCTCCTTTTCATACTCCCTGCCCCACCTTGCCTGACCCAGACCAGAAGTGACATGGGAGGGTGTGAGGGCCAGGGGCCCTGGCTGACTGTGAACTCTGCACCCAGAACGCTGATGCTCCCATTCATCCCCAGACCCCACAAAGACCTCTTCTTCCCCCATCGGGCCTGGCAAAACCAGATGTCGGGTGATGGAGGGCCATAGGCGGGAACGCATCAGGCTGGGGTCTAAGGTATCTTTGTCTGGTCAGAGCTCTGCCTTAGTTTCCTCCTTTGTAAAGTGCAGGGGTCAGACTAGGTGAGTGGCTTACAGGTTTTTTTTCTCTAGAGGAACTCTTTAAAACAATTAAATGTTAGACAGAACTCCAATATAGATATAAGACATAAAGACAGCTGTTCTCAACTAAGTGGCATGGGGCACAGAGACCTGCCTTCTGAGCAGCCCCTGGGGTATCTCGTGGGAATCTGAAGGCTTCTTGTAAACCATTGGCCAGTAGGATTCCTAAGATCCCTCTCACTTCTAAACTTCTACAATTCTGTGATGTTATATCAGAAAAATCCTGAGTTCTCTTCTGGACTTCTCTGTGAACTACTGTAACCTGGGACACACCACTTACATGCTTCTGTGTTGAGTCTCCTACTCCGTCAAGGGTGGATAATCTAGCAGAAACCCTTTACCTGATGTAGCTGAGAGAGGTAACTGGTCAGTTAATTGAAAAACTTAATTCAAGTGAAGTAATCATGAAAAAATGATGCATACAGATATTAAATGTTTTAAAGTAAGTATTTTGGTAAATTATTAAGTTAAAATAACTTCAAGCATATTCCTCACATTCATGAACATTCTTTCATATAGACAGAGACAAGCCTCTTTGAAGATAAATCCTCAAAGTTGCTTTTAATGCAAAAGTAACTTACCATTATCCAGTCTTTTGGAAACATTCATTTCCAGAGAAGCAACTTTCCACATTCCTCTAATGTAACAGTTAATTTATCGAATTATATTAGCATGTATACATCAGGCAGACAGACTGGGGAATAAACAGCTGGCTCTTTATACAACCCACCTAGAGGTGGCCACATCAGAAAGTGGCCTCTGAGCTCTTAGAGGTCAGCAGACATGCCTCTGCCAGTAGGTTTTAGGGGAGTCAGTGTAAAGCATCAGTTGTCTTGGCTGTCAGTTGGGTGGGCATCCTTTAAGAGAAATCTGCTATCCTAGCTAGCTCAGAGTGGTTCCGAATCAAATCAAACGTGTTAATTGTAGGATGAAAAGTACAAAACGTTCTCCAGTTGTAGGAAAGCTGACTTACTGCAGTCAGGGCTGCCAGGCAGGGGCGTAGGACCCAGGATTTCTGGCTCGCAGACCGGTGCTCTCTTTAAGAGACAAGAGCCTGGCCTTTGCCATCAGTGGGATCACTGAAAGAGTATCAGAGACGTGCAGCTGAGTGCTAACGGCCCAGGACCAAGGGCCCTCCTGCCGTGGGAGGCCCAGACTAGGAGGATGACAGGCACGTGCGTCTGCTTTGTCAGCAGGAGAGCATGCCTTTCGCGGTGGTGGGAAGTGACAAGGAGTACCAAGTGAACGGCAAGCGGGTCCTCGGCAGAAAAACTCCCTGGGGGATCATTGAAGGTAATTCAGTGCGTCTTCTGGAAGAACTGGCTGCTGATCAGTTATGCTTGTTTATTAAGCATCTGCAGGTTAAGGCAGTGTCCTAGGGTATGAGAGATGAAATGAACGCCCACACACCTGCCATAAGGAGCTTACAGTCTAATTGAGAAGGTGAGACTCACAGGCAGAAAGCCATAAAGGACCGATATAGCCCCGACCAGGGGCACTGACCCACGTGTTAAATGAGTTCATAAAGGGAGAGATTAATAGACTAGAAAAAACAGAGGAAGGTTTTCCACATGAAAGGGACAAGATCTGCCAAACTGCTGAAGGGGTGTTCAGACGTGGCCATTTTCATTTTATCATGAATGGATGAGACCTTGAGAAGGTCATAGGGATTTCTGAAAGTTTTCAAAGAACTGTTTCAATGCTTTCATTCAATATGATAACCCAGAGGGGAGCAGGGTAGGTGTGACTGTTCTCAGTGAATCAGCCCCTGAAGCCCATGAGTTAAGGCTGTAGTTTAAGTGTCCTGCCCAAGATCACGTGACTTGTTAGTGGTGAAACTTGGATATCAGACCCAGATATTTTGATTCCAAAACCAGGTTCATACCATTGTATCATGTTGTCTTTCATTTTCCCGTGACCCTTTTTTTGGGATTAAAAAAAGTTTTTTTTCTCATAATCTGCCTTGAATTGGAATTATTTATGAGAATGTCTGTCCTACCCATTGGATTGTGAGACTAGAGGATTCATGCCTTAATCCTCTTCTGCTCCCATAATTGTTGGCAAATGATTTACAAATAGGAGGCACTCAGTTTATGTTGAATTGGATTTATCATGTAGTACATGACCTTTTCAAGGTGGCTCGATTGTTATTTTCTATGTGTGTTACTGTCTTCCAATAAGATCGTAAGATCTGTAGGGATAGGAATAGTATCTTAGGCCTTGAGCAAGTTTGTTGGGCTCCCTGTATATTAATTTCCTTTTCCACAAGATGGGAAATATAATACTCCCTATTAGCTATTACTGCAGAGAATTTCAGATAGTACTGTGCCATTATAGCTGCTTAATAAATATTTGTTCCATGAATAAAATTTAATGCACCAAAGGGCCAAGACAAGCCACTTGGGAAGGGTTGCAATAGCCTGTCCTGTGGCTTGCTCCTGAAAGTCTCCCTGACCTGAACAGAAGTTCCCCACTGGCTGCTGGTGCATGAGTAGGTGACCACCTGCTTTGTTCTGTTTCTTTGCAGTGGAAAACCTCAACCACTGTGAGTTTGCTCTGCTTCGAGACTTTGTCATCAGGTAAGATGCACCCCTTCCCTTAGATGGCTACAGGTTAAGTGTCTTGCCCAAGGTCACATGACAGGTTTCCTTAGTTGGGGTCTGGGAGCCACCTGTTCGGATCCACTGTGTCAGTCTCCAGGTCTCTCTGACAGCGTTGTGACCAAGCTCCCGCTCCCGTCATGAAGCTACAGAGGCTGAACGAGTATCGCTGGCTCTCTGGAGCGGCTCCCAGTCATTGGGTCCAGGCCATGGAAGCAGTGTATTACCCTCACATGTGGGCTGTTTCTTCCTCCTGCCATCTCTAATTATGTCGCTGTCCCTTCTCACCCTGTGTCCTTCAGGACCCACCTCCAGGACCTCAAGGAAGTGACACATAACATTCACTATGAGACCTACAGAGCCAAGCGGCTCAATGACAATGGAGGCCTCCCTCCGGTGAGCGTGGACACAGAGGAGAGCCACAACAGTAACCCCTGACGGCCCTTTCTCTGTACCATCACGCATTGCCACTTCGCACACACATCCCCAACACCACCACCTGCCGCCTACCACCTTCTTCCTTTCTATCTGTCCCACAGGCCTGTCTGGTATTTGTGGAGTATTTTGTTTACTCTGTGTGTGTGTGTGTGTGTGTGTGTGGTGTGTGTGAAAGGGGTGAGAGTATATCTGTGTGTGTGAGCGAGTGCAAAGGGGTGAGGTATTTTCACTGTGTGTGTGTGTGTGTGTGTGTGTGAAAGGGGCGAGACTATGTCTGTGTGTGTGCGCAGGGATGAGGTATTTCCCCTGCCCTCCCTGGAAAGTCCCTTTCAAGTCTGGTTCCTCCATGGCTGTCCATTATCTGTCTCCTTTCCTTGTATCCCAGAACAAAGCCGAGTGCCTCACTTGAGAGGTCTGGGGGAGGTTTCATTTACAAATTATGGGAGCAGGTGAGCCACAGGTAACTCTTTCTTATCTCTGAATCCGCCCACCACACTGGGACCGCAGAGATTCTCCCAGGACAGGCTGTGGAGTCAGACCCGGGAGGGGCGGGGAGTCGAGGGGTTAACCCTCCCATCAGCAGGGCAGTCTGGGGGAAGGAAGGTCATGAAGAGCAGGGAAGTAGGCCAGAGTGGGCTCCCGCAGAAAGAATTCGTGCCTAGAGGTGGAGAAGAGAGCTCCACCCTTCAGTCCATGCCACCTTCACTGTCCAAAAGCTCCCATGGGTCACCGACTGCTGCCTTCCATATTCCCCTTCCCTCACCGGCCTCTGCTTCCACCTTTCCTTCACTTCTTCATCCCGCCCTCTCTAACTTCTCTCACTTCCTTTTAGACGAATCCATCTTAGCTACATTTCTGTATTTAAGAGTTAAGCCTAGTCTGCTTCCATAAATGACATTAGGCCACCTTCAAATCACAGCTGAAGGCATGGGACAGTACACGCTGAGATTACAAGAGAAATCAGATCCATAGCAAGGAAGAGGAAAGAGAGTCGTTGCGGTTGAGTGCTGGAATTGGCCCCGAGCTTGTGGGCAGCTGGACAGAGGAGGAAATGTTGAGTTTATGCAGTCCCAATGTTCAGTTAAAAAGGCACATGCATTGGTCAGGTGAGAAAAACTTTTTTTAGGCATTAAGTACTAGAAGAACCAAGTCCAAGGATGTGTCAAGAACAAAATACATTATTTGTCTTTTCCAGTGGTTTGGCTTCAGAGACAAATTTTAAATGACACCTCCCCTTTCTCCATCTGGATCCTCCCCCCTTGCTGCTGGCCTCTCTGTTGCTCCCTTCGCCCCAGATGTGCTTGACGCCCACACACTTATTTTCCATTCTCTCTCACTCTTGTGCTGAAGCTAATGCACTTTTGTCTGTTTATCTGTCTTTCTCCACTTTTCCCTCCTGACTCCTTAGACATTCCTGGTATATCCACAATCATACATTTAGCTTTTTCTCATCCTTCCCTTCAGCTCTGTATTTATTATTGCATATTTCTCCTGTTTGTTTTGCACCCAAATTGCTCTTTCTCCCTTTAGTCTATGAGGTGGCTGACATTTGGGGCTGGGGAAACAATTTTGCCCAGACAAGGGAAAACACCATGTGGAACAGTTTACAATAACCTCCTATAGCCTCCTGCTCCATCTCCTGGTCCAACCCTAGGGGTTTTACTGGTCCTCTACAGATTCCAGCATTTATAGTCCCTTATCACTCAGGTGCTAGGAAAACGTATAGGCCAAGACCGAGATTGGGTGGACCAGACCAAAGAGGTGGGTGATCTGATAACTAGTGACCCCAAATCTATGGTCTCAGTCTTTCCTGAAGGCCCTACCAATCTGACCCATATCCTCTGTCACCCACACAGTTACTCCAGGGTAGGCACCTGTTAGGAATAGAGCCGCAGTGGGCTTGGAGCCTACAGGTTGCTATGTTTCAACGGAAGTGAGATCCCTGGCTCACAGAGTGAGCAGCCTCCTATGGCGATGCGGGCCTGGATACCAGGACTAGCGGGGAAGGCCTGAGGGCTGGTGTGAGGCTGAGTAGGAGAACGATGCTTGGAGCCCCTAAACCATGATCTCAGCCTCCCTGGAGAAGCTGTTTTGTATGTCTGCTGCCAGCTGCTGGTCTCTACATGCTCAACCATTCTCAACCCCCCTGCAGGGAGAAGGCCTCCCGGGCACTGCCCTTGCACCTGTACCAGCCACCCCCTGCCCCACTGCTGAATGAAGGCCATTTCAAGTGCTGCTTCTCCCTCCATTCCTCTCAGCTGGTGTTGCTGCAGGGCCACACCCTTTTCAGAGTTGTGCTTGTCCAGCCCACCTCCACAGCCCCTCTCAGCACAGCACGTGGAAGGGACAGTTGCTTCCTCCATTTAGCCAACGCCCCTGTCCTCCCAGGGGAATGGAGTTTTCACCAGCACTGCCCTCCATCGTCTTTGTCAGCCCATGTGTAGGATGAAAGAACGTATCAAGAGCTTCTTCTGCCCTCCAAGCCCAAACCAGCTACTTGTACCCATCTCCGGGGGAAATAACATTGCTCCCCGTCCATTCATCCACATAAGCTACTCTTGGCTTTCTTACAGGAGCAAGAAAGCAACTTTTCTGCTTGTCAGATGCATTGGGGTCAGCTGTGTGAGCCCTGATGGGGGACGAGGGTGTCTCCTTCATTGCTTAAAGCTTATTTATAAGATCGGTCACTACTGATGTGGTGGAGCAAGGCCTAGGATTCCGTTTTTTTTAATTGCAACTTGTGACTGGCCCAGAGTATGGTTTCACACTCTTCCCGCCCCATAACGTAGCCACTTAGGAGGAGTGGTTTTCCATAAGAGGCATTTCTGGAGTTCACTTCCTTATCCTCAGACTTTAAAAAAGAACTACAGACAGACACAAAACTCCAGGAAGCTGTGATATGTGAATTGTAGGAAGTAAAAATGCACCCTTTTGTCCATTTAGCAATAAGAAGGATCTCTTACCATCCACCTTGCCTACTCCTACCCCTCACCTCCACCCCGTCAATGTGAGTAGTGAATTAGCCTGGCCACAGTTGGTCACTGTAGGCTAGTGGGAAATACCCAATGGAGGGAAAAGCCCCCCATTGGATGCATGAATGTTTGCGAATGTCGGCTACCACTGCCCCACAAACTGTCTTTATGGAATTATCCCCACCCCATCCATCTCCACCTGGACACAACTTGCTCAAAGGCTGGTGACTCATGGGCCAATCATCTACAACCAAATCCTGATGGAGCAAGAGGCCCAAGCCTAGGGGATGCAAGAACGACCCATTTCTTAAATGTTACCAGTCCCAGCCAACCTTTTGGTGACATTATGGTTAAATTTCCCAATTGAAAACAAGCCAAGAGAAAAACTGGTTATGTAAATGTTGCTAGACTTTATGTGTTGTACAACTAAACATTGCTGTTTGAATGATACCTGGCCTGTGTCTTATTTGTCCTCCTCATCCCTTGGCTAAATCACTCATTATGTCATCTCACTCACATATTGAGGGAAGACAGCATTCGTCTTGGTAAGAAGTAGCCATAGAAATTAGAGATGGAAAACATTTTGTGAGGCCAGTTCCTCTTCAGTTGGTCTGAGGCTGGATGCCAGTCTTATTCCCTGGAGTTCTGTATCCAAAATGAGTGATGGAGCTACCACACTTGACCTTGAGGGATACTGTGCTTTGCACAACCTGTCTCCTTCAATGAAAATGATGTTTATTTTCATTCAATTGATTTCCTATCTTTTCCCGTTCTTTCTCCAGAAGGCATAAAAACCAAGTCCATGAAAGCAGTGGACCCATCTTGCCTAGGGCCCTAATTTACAGTGACTATTTTCAAGAGTTAAGAATTGAAACTGAGATCCCTAGCTTGTCTCTTTCTGGAACTAGTCCTTCCCCTTGTTGAGGTTCCTACTCTCTTTTGTTGCCAACAAATAACTCTAACCTGTATATTATTTCTCTGAATTTGACTGTGATGACCACATGCAATTGTGTTTGGGGCCCCAATTTTCTGTAGGGTGAGTGCAAGGTATAGATAAATGGGTGGGGGTGTCAAGATTGGAGGAAGACAGATATGGAGGCTTTTGGAGTCATTCAAGTAAAATGTTGGGTGGCAATGCCACACCGAGATGAGAAATGAGATTTGAGCAATATAGAGGTTTTGTGAGCTTAAAACACCACAGCTAAGAGAAACCTGAGTTCTTCAGGCCAGCGCCTTTATACAGATATGGATGCTGAAGTCCAGACACCATAGTTGTCTTGCTCACAGTTGCACACTTTAGTTCCCACTGCAAGACTTGGACTCAATCTCAATACTTGTTCCACTGCATCACACCACTCTTATTGCATTTCATGTATTCTAATAGTCTTAGTGGTACATTTAAAATGGTGCATCTTACAACTGACAGGATCTTAAATGTGATGAAATACAGTAGTTCAGGAGGTGTTAACATCCCTTTGTTTGAAGCCCTTTGGTGCTATCTGTGACGTTTAAAGGAACTAAGAATATGTACATTTTAGTCTTCAAAGCAATTCTGGAATAATGTATCCCACAGGATCCTCACAATCACCCTTTGGAGGAGGCAGGGCAGGTGTGATGGATGACACAGGATCTCTCCACCCTGGAGCACCAAGGGCCTCTCCTCTGACTCCTGACCCAGCTCATGCACCCTTCCCCTGATACGAATTCACAAGAAACCGGCTCGGAACCCAGGCTTTCTATGGTGGAAAAAAGTTCTGCTCGCCTTAGAAGCGAGGAATCGTTTTGGACCCTTTCTCCACAGGACAGCAGCTTTCAGACAGGAATCTGGGAGGACGCAGGAAAATCCTGCTTTTAATTCCTCACAGGACCAAGTCAAATCCAAAGCCGCGGGCAGCCACGCGCGGCCAAGAGGGTGGGAGCGGGCGGAGGAGGGAGCCACTCATCTCCCACTCACCCCTCCCAGGCGGGGCTCCCGACCTCGACTCCGCCTGGTCTTCTAGCCTCCCGCCCCCACGTGACTAGCGCCTCGCCTACTGCGCGTTCTTGCGCCATAATCTCCGCCTTCCCCTTCAAAGCCCCGCCCCACGGCTTGACGCAGACCCCGCCCTTCCCATCCGAGGGGCGGCAGCAGGGGGCCCGGAGCAAGATGGCGGTGAATCAGAACCACGTCGAGAACCGCCGCGGGGCCGTCATCCCTTTTGGCGAATGGTGCTTGACGGGAAGCCGGGGGCCGGGGTGCTGTCCGAGGAGGGAGGAGGCAGACGGGTAGAGCTGGCGGCTCGCAGGCTCTCAGCCACTCAGGGGCTTTCCCGCCTTTTCCTGGTGCGTCACGCTTGGGGGAGCGGCCTCCCGGCTTCCGGGATACGGAGGTGGCGGAGGCGGGAGCGCCTGGCCTCGTGGGTCGCTTCGGAAGGAAGGTGGGAGCGCGCTGGCGCCGGTGGGTTGTCGTGCCCCACTCTGGATCGCGTATGGCAGCAGTTGGGAGCGCGCCGCTGTAGGGTGACGGAGGGCCGTGGTCACACCCTACCCCCACCCCTGGGAATGAGGTCAGGGCTTCGGGGAGGCTTCGGAGGCCTGAGTGTGGATCATTCCGGAAAGATCCCAAACTGTCAGGAATCTCTCCTTGACCCCAAAACTTAACAAAACCCGACTTCTTCTCCCCATCCGGGGAGATGACTGCTCATCATTGTAGAGCTCTGGGCCCCAAAGCAGGGACGCCTGGGAATGGCGCCCTTGACGTCACACAGTCACTTTGAGCGGTCCCTGTGGTGCCCACTACTCGCAGCTCTCCTCTCGCCTCTGCAGACTCAGCCTGGAGGAGGCTATTTCTGCCTCCCCACCCAATGTGTCAACTCCACTGCTCCTCCCAATTCCTCCTGCCTCAGTTTTGCTCAGAGACATGCTCAGTCTCCCCAGCAGTTCTTGATTATGTCCCCATCTCTGCACCGGTTTGCCACCGTTTTCCTTTGTTTTCGCTGAGCAGTGAGATCTGCACCCGAATATTGTGCTTAGGTGAGACTGAGCACACCTAGGTCGCTTTGCATTTCTTGGGAAGATCCAGTAAGACAGTAGCAAATGTTGATGTCCAAGTCTTTTTCTATGCTTCCTTCCCCAGAATATTTTCTTGACAGATTTACACGGGCTGTAAGGGAAGACATGTATGTCTTCCCTTGCTCCCTCTGCTTTGCTCAGTTTTGTAGGAGGGGATGATCGCTCATCACTCCGACCTTAATGTCCCCAGGCACACTGGCCTAGAGCACTTTGACCTGTGTGCTTCTGGCTTTGTGCCATTTCTAACCTGTTCTTTGGGTGTCTCCTTACTCAGTCTACTGGTTTCTGTGTTTCTCTGTGTAAGTGTCGGAGGCAGGGCATGAAGCATGCTTTTAAACAATTAACAAACACTGATTTTCTGGTCCTTTGAATTATCTTTATGGGGTTCATTTTGTGCTCTCGAAGAATAATACCCAAGGACTGTTCTAAGAGTTTCCTACTTAAAACTGCTCTATCTACAGTGAGGATCAGTAGTATTTCCCTTATCTCACAGGTGGAAAAATGGAAGCAGAGAACTAATTCGCTTAAAAGCATATGGCCAGTGCATGTAGAAGAACTTTGATTTGGGTTTGAACTTAGATACTCTGCATTGATTTCTCTACTCCAGCTGTCCTTCGGAAAGGAAAAGGGCTGCTGCTCTGCTGTCCCCTCATCGAAGAAGGCCCTGTCGGTGCTCTGGCTTCCTAGATAGAAACTACTTTAAAGACAGAAGTTGGGATGGAGAAGACTGGTTTGACTTCACCTGCCTATTTGCAATGTACACTTGAGAAATTGATCACAGCTTGGCTGTGTTTTGTGACGATCTTTTT